AGGATATCTGTTGTCTTGCTGCCTATTTTCCTAACTTGACTACTAGGTGCTTTATGTAGGCTGGGCTTCAGCTGATAGCCATTTATTCACACCCAGCCTTGGGTAATGATAAAGCAGGCTGATGAGCTTATTCCATGAAATGAAAATAAGAAAAGCCACACTGAAACACAAACTTTCTCTTTTGATTGCCATCCAATCTAGAGATGAAGACGAGTCTGTCTGCAGGATTTCAATCTGTCCAGTGTTACATATGAATCCTTTGAAGGAAGAGTGTGGTGATGCTCATGGGTATGGCTTGTGAGTGCCAATGTGCTGGCAGGAGAAAAGAAAAGGAGGTATTGCAGGCATCCCTCACCTCTGTGAGGAAGAAAGGTGACTGTGGTACAAACCTTGGCATGAATAGTAAAAATTTTAAAAAGACTGAGAGGTTTTAGTGTAGTAAAAGGATGCCCATGATGAGAACAGCACAGGAACATGAAGTTAGTCCTGCAAAAAATTTAATGTGACATAATATGTAGCTCAGCAAGGCTCTCTCCTAAGAAATGTACTTGCATGTTTAGCCTGAATGCTAAAGCCACTCAGCTTCACTGTGTTTTCATGCATAATATCTGCAAGAGAAAGCAGCACTTATTGTATGAGACACATAACCTACATTACTTATTAATTTATACTAGATTCGGGTCTTTTGATGTACTGCTGCTTACATCAGAAACTGTCTTTTACAGAAATTAAATGGGTCAGTCCTTGAATAGAAGTAATCCAATACAAAGTACAGGGGAAGGCAGTGGTAAGGAGCTATTCACCATTGTGCTCTGCTGTTGGTGTAGTGTTTGGAAAAGAGGGCAGCTGAGAAGGGAAGGGCAGAAACCACTGTACCAATGTGAACCTGTTATTTATTTGTTAACAATAGTAAAGTTGGTGGGTGTGGTCAGGGAACACATACAGTTGGGTTAAGAAAGGCTTGAAATGCTGCTACCCACTCCCCACTGGCTTCAGAGCAAATATATTGGGGTGAAAGCATATCTTTGGAAAACAAGTTAGACCAGTAGATGGGTAGTTTTGTGAGTTTGCAATTTAGGAAGATGCAGCGTCTCTCTTGTGAAGACAGGCTGGGAAGGTTTGAGTTGTTCTGCCTGGAAAAGGGAAGGTTCTGGAGGAAGCTTAGAGCAGCCTTCCAGTACAAAAAAAGGGCTGCAAGAGAGATGGAGAAGAGCTTTTTACAAGTGCTTGTAGTGACAGGACAAGGGACAATAGTTTAAAATGAAAGAGGGTAGATTCAGATTGGACATAAGGAAGAAATTCTTTACTGTGAGTTTCATGAGGCACTGGCACAGGTTGTTCAAAGAAGATGTGAATGCTTTATCCCTGAAAGTGTCCAAGGCTGGGTTGAATGGGGCTTTGGGCAACCTGGTCTAGTGGAAAGTGTCCCTGCCCATGGTAGGGGCTTAGAACTACATGAGCTTAAAGGTCCCTTCCAACCCAAACCAATCTGTAGTTCTATGGAAGTGATGCAGTATTACACCCTGTCCTTGAGATAAAAGCTATTAAAGTACTTCAGTGCATGCTGAGGAAATCCAGGTTATTTTTCAGTCAAATACACAGTAGATGCATTCTTTGTGGGCTTATTTATTTGAGAAATTGCCTCTTGGCAGAGTTAGTTGGGGTAAAAATAAGATCCTGAAAAGGCAGCACTGCTGCTGATTTCCACAGATGCTTTTCATTGCCATTGCAGAGTGTACTGGGTTCATTCCTCAGCGGAGCTTCCATCTCTGATGTGTCAGTGTCAGTAATTGTGCTGATTAACACCAAAAATATATTTATAGTAGGTTTCACAGATATCTCTGGTACATTTCGTATAGTCAACACTATGAAAAAATAAATTATTGTTGTGGTTGTTTATGGTGGCTTACTTTAGTACTGGAACATCATAAAGTTCTTTACAAATGCTGTCCTTAACTGAGAGGTTTCAAACAGAAACAGGATTTTCCATCATATTATAAAGGAGGGAGATGACTACACTTGGTCCGTTTCTTTCCCTTTTCCTGAACAAGTAGCTGGAGTTGTATCTTCCTCAGAGGATTTATTTTATCACATATTTCCTTGTGCTTAATATAGCTGCAAAAACCTCTGGCCTAAATGGAAATATGAATGACTCTGCTCCAGTACAGGAAAACAATCCCAAACCACAACTATTAAATAAAAATCACTGAGGAAAAGGAAATGGGTCCTTCACTTTATTTTAAAATTGATTAACTATTAGTATTAGTTGATTAACTATTAGTCTTACCATTTTGGACACTAACATGGATTTCAGGATTTTTAGAAAACCTGGTTTGTAAAGCAAGAGAAGTATTGTGAAATCCTTAGCATATTTAATGAGTTTTCTGGTTCATTATTTAAAATTCCCTCCTTTGGGAGCTGAGCATTGGTCTTGGTGGCTTCATTCGCTGTAGAGGATTTGCAGCAGAGAGGTTTGTCTCTGTAAGTTTGCAGCCTTAGCTCAGCAATAAGTACATCAGGTAGCATTAAGTTCCAGGAACTCTTTGTACTTGAGTGGATACACATTAGAATGCTAGTCAGCTTCACTAGTGTGTTTTGGGGCTGGTATGTTCTGCATGGAAACATGTTCTTCATGCTCCAGTGTTTCACAGGGGGTGCCTGAGAATGCCTTGGTGCACAGATGCATGTGATAGAGCAGCCACAATTATTTCATACTCCTCTGTGTCCCTTCTTTTCATTGTGGTGTCCCAGTGTCTTTCACTGCTACATTCAGATGTGATGTGATTTATTTTCTTATGGTTCTTGCTTAGGTGTATGTGGGCATGGAAATACTCGCTTAAGGAGAACAAGAAAGACTTTTGAGAAAGTGGGGCTTGATAAGGCAGGATGCATATTAAATAAAATTACTGCTAAAATGTTAAGTTCCTTCTTCATATATGTACATCTGAAGAGAGCACACAACTTTTTTGGTTGTGTGTTTGCATACACTGCCTTAGGAAATGCCTGTAAAGCTGCATTATGCTCCACTGTTGCAAAGTATGTCTTTGTAATCCCGTCCTTCTCCCTTCTCTCACTACCTCCACAGAAAAAAGGAAAACCTTATGTAAAACTGTCATAAAAAAGAAAGTTCTTATTGTAATGTTAGCACTAGCAGTATTCAAATAATAACCACATCCTCTGTGGGTTTAATTATTATTTTATAGTAGTTATTCTTCTTTACTTAGTTTCATATAACAGTCCTAAGTAAATATTATTAATGACTTTTTTTTCAAAGATATATGTGGCTACGGAGCTACAGAGGAAGGGAATTATAATTTTCTGCCTTCATCTTTATTAGTTTTTCTATCTTCTTCATAATTTTGACAATATCCAGTATAACTGTAGTAGTCTGCCCTTAATATGGAAAAACTAAAAATATGTGCAATAAGGATTTCATCACAGTTGGGCATTTAAAACTTTAAATAAAGGAAGGTGTCCTTTTCTTGCATTTCCTCCCTCCATTTCTACTCATGCTTCTCTTTATTTTCACTTTTTTAAGAAGATGTCTGATTTGGATGACAGTTCTTGATGTATGACCTGATGTCTGTATGGCCACAAAGACAGGGTCGAACAAGGTTATAAAGCTTATTAGTCTTTTAGCTTGCTTCTGGCAAAGTCCTGCACAGCCTCGTGTTGCTAAGAACGGCAGAGTTGTGGGTTCAATCCCCACTCAGGCCATTCACATGAGAGTTGTACTTGACCTTTTCTTGCATTTCCCCCCTCCATTTCTACTCATGCTTCTCTTTATTTTCACTTTTTTAAGAAGATGTCTGATTTGGATGACAGTTCTTGATGTATGACCTGATGTCTGTATGGCCACAAAGACAGGGTCGAACAAGGTTATAAAGCTTATTAGTCTTTTAGCTTGCTTCTGGCAAAGTCCTGCACAGCCTCGTGTTGCTAAGAACATCAGAGTTGTTCTCACTCAGGCCATTCACATGACAGTTGTACTTGGTGATCCGTGTGGCTCCTTCCAGCTCAGAGTATTTTGTGATTCTGTGACGTAGCAGCCTGCACCTGGGCAACACCATGAGCCCTCTGAAGCTTGGGAGTCTTCCTCTGAACAGACAGAAATGGTCATGAATTAGCAGCAGAGGTAGAAAAAAAGCAGCTCTAAAAGCCTGTGTTATTTAGGCACTGCCTGGATTATGCATTAAAACTAAAATCTGGCTTTAGATCACTGCAGCTACTTCTTTTTGAGCATTGAGTTCTGTGTATTTCATTTTCTGGTGTTCAGTGGTCTTGAAAGAAGCATTGGTATTTAGTGTAATGCACCCAGTCAGTTTGTATAGTTCCCCCAAAACCCATGCTAATAGAAAAAGCTCTGGTGGAAAATCCGTTTTACTAGATTATTATTTCTCTGTTCGGTGATAGAATGCTTTTGTTTGACAAATAAACTCTTCGCAGAACCTGAGGTATAAGCCATAGTAAGTCATATAAAGATCTTGCTATTTTTTTCTCAATAAAGACAGTTTCATTCTGGTTTCGTCTTTGTACTTCCAAGAAGCTGTTGTAGTCTGTGTACCTAAATTACCCTGTTACTGAACTTGGAAGATGTTTAAAGTGCACTTCATTGATAAGCAGCAGGTCCAGCTAGGTGAAGAGCACTGCAAGTGCTCTTCATAATATAAACTGATTTTTCTGGTTTATTTTCAACAGTTGAGTATTTAAAGTGATAAAATACTGTCTCCTCTTACATAAAATGGTTAGCCTGTGAACTTTTAGTTCCAGTAGATACTACATATATTTTTTTTTCACAGAGTCAACCTGCCATCTGAGTTATAAAATCTAACACATAACAAATCCAGGCACTACTTTAGGTGTTCTTTCTGCCATGTTTATGCCTGTAGCTAATGTCTCAATATGTTTTGGATTATATTTTTTCACTTATTAGGTGATTTAGGCTTTATTGTGTCAAATCAGCTATTCATTCTTTTCTATTTTTACTTTTTGTTTTTTAGGTCATAGGAATTTTGGATGTGTTCACACCAGATATAACACTGGAGAAGTTTAATGACTTGTAAGTTCCAAGTTGTTTGTTTTTTGGAGCAGAGCATTGTTTGTGCGGTATGAAAGGTTGTTGCTTTCTAAATAGATAATTCCAAAATTGTTGCTTCATGGACTTTTTTTTTCTGAGTTTCTTCTTAATGTAACTCTTACTGCTGCTTTGGTGGGCTGGAGTTCTCAGATTGTCATTAGAACCAGTTTCCTGTCTTTCAGCCCTTAATAAATGGCATTTTAGTGAACTCCCTAATCCACCTTACAAATACTGATTTCTTACCCTGAGGCCCAGGTTGCTCAAATGGTAGGACAATTCTTAACCCAGTCAAGTAGGCTGAAAGTTACCCCCACTATGTGGCATATCTCAGTGGGCTCCATCCAAATTCAAGGATCAGTTAAAAGTGCTGGTGCTGCTGAATTTTTTTGGTGTTTATCTGCATTGTGGTCTCTTGTGCCCCGTGACTGCTTTCCCAGCCAGTGGTCCAAACAGCACCTGATACAGGTTGTTTCTACCACATCTCCCTGACCTTTTGGTGGCATCTCAGACACAAGATGTTTAGCATGTCTACTGTTTTATTTGTTTACTGCTACAATTCTGGTGAATTAGAGTTGCTAGAGAAACGGTGCCCAGAAATCCTTTTGGGCTTAATGTAGGTTTCCTGTGTTGGTAGAACTGTTCTGGATTTCATCTAGTATATCTATGTTTCCTATTGTGTATTTATATGTTAGCAAAGAAAGCTATCTGAGAGAAAAATGTAGAAAATGAAGTACAGAAACATGGAGCATGTGTTCATATTGATTGTTGAGCCAAAATGAATGTTGTCCATATTGTCTATTTTGCTAGCATTTTACACAGCATATGCAATAGAATGCACATGTACATGATGAGCATTGAAACACTGTGTTTTACATGAAACTCTAAAATCATCCTCCAGATTTTGCTAGTTCAATGGCTGTGCTGCTAGGTCATGACTGTGAGATACACTGCCTTCCATGAATGTCTTAGTTTTTTGTGTAACTGTCTTTGAAATATCATGAGGCTTTTGGTTAGTTTCTTCCTAAGCTAGTTCTGATAACTAGCAAATTTCCATGATCAGTGACAGAACTGGACAATACCTCTTTAAGACAATCAGATAAAAACAGAGAGGCTTGTAGGATAGGAGGTTGATGAAGGAATTGTTTCGTAAATGGAATTATCTATAATTTAATATTGTAATTGAACTATAACATGCAATTATGCTTTAATTTACATGACAAAGTTAATCAAGTTAATCTGTTTGGTTTTCTTTCTTTTTTTTGTTTTGTTTTAAGTTACCTCGTCATGCCATTTATGGGAACAGACTTGAGTAAGATAATGAAGCATGAGAAATTAACAGAAGATCGAATCCAGTTCCTGGTATATCAGATGTTGAAAGGCTTAAAGGTTTGCCAGTCTGCTACTATTTTGGTTTCACAGTCTTTTTTCCTAGTAAACTGTTATGTAGAACTATGAGTGTTTATAATTTAATAGCAGGATGAAATTTATCTCACCTAGTATAGTAAAAATTGTATATTAAATTAAAATAATTGTATTTATTTATTGTATAAAGTATATTTTTGCAGGTAAAAAATCCTGTCTCGCTCACATTCTCATCTTACGTTAGATGCTCCAGTCCCATAGTCATCATCATTAAGCTTCACTGGCTTTGCTTCAGTATCTCTGTTTAACTAGGAAGCCCACAGCTGAGCACAGCACTCCAGGTGTGTCTCACCAGAGCTGAGAAAAGGGGAAGGATCATCTTCAGGGTGCTGGCAATCCTCTGCCCAATGCATGAGGCTTTGGGTTGTCTTTGGTGCAAGGGCCTTGTCTGGTGCATGGCATTATTCTCTCCCAGGATTTTGTTAAACTTTGATGGGTTCCTGTCAGCCCATTTCCTTAGCCTGTAGAGGTCTCACTAAATGGCAACACAATTATCTGGTGTGTCAACATTATTGTCAGTTCTGCATCATTTGCTGAGTTGCTGAGGGAGCTCTCTGTCCCATCGTCCAGGTCAATAATGAAAATGGTAAACAGAACTGACTTCAGTACTAACCCTGAGGGGGACACTGCTGGTGGTGGCCCTCCAGCTGGACTTCCTGCCACTGATCACAACTGTTTGATCAAGGCAGCTCAGTCAACTTTGATCCAGGCAGCTCAGTCACTGTCCATTAATGTAACTCTTCCTTCCACTGTCTCTCAGGGTGTTACTAGAGTTTCAAAAGCCTTGCAAGAGACAAGGTAAACAGCACTGTCTGCCCTCCTGTCATCCACCAATCCAGTTGTCTCATCATAGTAACAGGGTATCAAGTGTGGTTTTCTTCTGTAAATCCATGTTGGCTACTGCCAGTCAGTTCTTTGTCCTCGTAATTTTTGGAAATGGTTTCCAGAATTACTTGCTTATCACATTCCCAGGCTGACTGGCCTTCCTTGATCCTCTTCTTCAATACCCTAGCAATATTTGCTTTCTTGCAATCATGAGGAACATCTCCAGATCACCATGACTGACTGGCCTTCCTTGATCCTTGATTTGAAGACATGAGCAATATTTGCTTTCTTGCAATCATGAGGATTGCAGATCACCATGATCCTTCACATCCTATTAAGTGGACTCCTGATGACATTGGCCAGCTTCTCTTAGAATTCATGAGTTCATCCCATCAGGCTGTTTGTTTAAATGTTAAATTTGTGTTTGTTCAGATATTCCTTATCTGATCCTCCTCCACTGAGGGTTAAGTCTTCCTTGCTTCAGACTTTTCCAGCAGTTTCAGGGACCTATGATATGGCAAATACTACCAGTAAAAATGGATTAAAATGAGGCATTGAGTACCTTAGCTGTTTCATGCCTCTGGTGCAATTGCCTGTGTTGTCTCTAGTTTTGTTTTTGCTCCCAGTTAGCATGTAGAAGCCCTTCATGTTCACCTTTGTCTCTTACCCAATTCAGGACAAGAGGTCTTTGCCTTTCCAGATTCCATCTCTGCACGCTTCAGCAGTATCTCCACATTCCTGCAGGGTGACCTGACTTTGCTTCCATCTCATGTATGCTTTTTTGTGTTTTGGTTTCCCTAGGAGTTCTTGCCTCCTGTCACCTTTCCTTGCTCTTGACTTAACTAGTGTCTGCTTATTGTGTGCTGATGTTTTACTCTGTGAAATTAGGAAAACATTCATAAAAGAATGAACGGCCCATGCAGATTTATCTAGTTTTGAACTGTGTAGGAAAACTTCACCTTGTAGCTCTTCCAGTAGGTCTTGGGAAGAATAATGATTTAGATACATCATTTTCTTAAATACAAAGTGTAACCACATGCCATGCGTAAGTTAGTTGTTGGTCTTGTTCATGATTTTCTTTATCTTTTCACATAGTAATCTGCACTGTTAATTCCTTCTCATAAATAATGTTTTTATTCACCTCTGTGTTATCTCTTAGATACTGTAGTATATGGACTGTAGAGCTTACAGCTATAGCAAATAACATAAAAACATAATCTTGAATTTTACTGACTCTCACAAGAATGATTCTAAATGTATTAGCTGTCATATACTTTGCATGTATTTCTTCCTCATCTTTTGCTGAATACTGTTTGGTTTTGCTATTCCTTTTTTCTGCTGTTTGGCTTTTAAAAATCAGACAGTGTATGAAGTTCATGGTCTTAAAAAACACAAATAGAAGATATTCCTTAAGCTCCCTGCTTTTATCTATAACCTATATTAATGTGATGTGAAAATGATTCTTGGTCCATATTAGTACTACAGTTCTTAAATTACTGTGTTTACTTTTTGGGGTGTACTACTTCTTTCTTTTGGTGACACAATTCCAAGAGAAGAAAAACCTTGACCTAGGTCTGCAGGCTTTATCCAGGCTCTCCTGCAGTAAAGTCTGTTTAATTCTCTTTGCTGCTCCGGAGACAGATAAGGAGGCTATGGAATGGCACTGTCTTAAATTGAGTGTCATTCCCTGGCTGCTGCTGGCACTGTACAGTTTTGGTTTTACAGTCCTGTAAACATACAACGTATGGGCAGAAATTTCCTCTGTGCTTGTACAGATAAGTGAAGTCAGTGTAGGGGTGTGCTTGTGCAGTGGAAATGCAGACCTGATTTTGATGCAGGAATGTCTGGCACTTCCATCAGGATGCGGATTCATCCAGATCTATATTTGCATTACCAAACACTAGTAAAAAATAATCAAATAGCAGGACAGCATGCTATGCCTGGACAAGAACATCAGGAACAGCATAACCACAATTCTATTGTCCCTCAGTACTTAACAGATACAGAAGGGCAAGTAAATTGTTTTACTCCCCCAAATGTAATAAATACATTTTCTTGTTGAGTCCTGCATTACTGATTTCTCTTTGACCCTACCCTGGATTTTATGTTCTTATTTTAGCAGATTTTTGCTCACATAGCCTTTTACATGTACTAAGTAATTATCTTTTGTGTTCTACGGTTGTGCATTTAAGTGCTATAATTTCCATTTTACAAATGCAGGAACTAAAGTCAGGTAAACTAAAGCCAGGGTCGGGGAAATTGGTTTTATTTAAACTGGAGGAAATTTACCTCTAATCTGGATTCTGAATGTGGAGTTAGGATTTCCATTCTGTAATTAGTTCCCTAGTCACAAAGAAGTGTTGTCTTAAGGACTGTGTAAATGGAGCAGTCTGTTTAAGTTGCAGGTAACTGTCTGGGAAGCAGGTTTCTGGGAGAGGCATGCTATTCACCGGGGATGGAAAACAGCATTTGTGCTGCCTTTACAGGCAAGCAATATGTGAACTGTAAAGAATTAGCTTAGATTGAGTGTAGTGGAAAGGATGAATAATTAATTTAATTCTGGTGAAATGACTTAGAAACATATTTTGGTCCTAGTGATGGACACTACATGACAGAGGCTGACAGAGCAGAGCTTGAGGCCCCAGAGGTTGGCACTGAAGCCTGTTGGATCAGTAAATGTGGAAGACAAATGGAGCAGCTGTGCGTGGTTGGCATACATGGGAAGAAAACAGAGCAGGAATTTATGAGGATATATTGGGCAGGTTTGTGGCAAGGTTTGTTTGTTAGTGAAGGCTGCAGGGTGGCTGCTGTGGGAAGACACCAGGAACACCTCCATGTTGAACAAAGTTCCGGCCAGCTGCAAAGCATACCCACTGCTGGCTAAAACTGAGTCCATCAGCAATATTCATGGCATGATAATGGTGATACATTTAAGGAGTGGTAAAAAAATGTTGGCAGCAGCTGTGAGAGGGGAATGAGAAAATGTGAAGTAGACCTGCAGGCACCAGAGCCAGTGAGGATAGAGGGGGAGAATATGCTCCAGGTGCTGGAGTAGAGATTTCCCTGCAGACCATGAAGACCATGGTGGCACAGGTTGCTCCTCTGCAACCTGGAAGATCAGGACAGAGCAGATACCCATCCACACAGCAGCCTTGGAGCACCCCATGCTGGGGCCCAGGGATGTGGCCTAAATGAGGCTGCAGCCCAGGGAGAGCCAGTGCTGGAGCAGGCCCCTGGCAGGTTTTAGTGTCAAGACCTGTGGCCCTTGGGGACCCACACTAGAGCAGTACACTCCTGAAGGACTGCATCCTGTGTAAAGAACACATGCTGAAAGAGTTCATGAAGGATCCTGTCTCCTGTGGGAGGGACATAAGAATAAAAGCAGTTATATGGCAACCAGCTACCAGCAGGGATGCTGAGATAGTAACTGTGATAGATCTTCTGTAAGAAGTGGTTTACCTGAATAGTTTCTTACCCTATGTTTTTGAGAGTAAAACTGTACTTACCTCAAAATTACCAGCAGGAAATAAAATATTATTTAGCTACTAGACTGTTTTGTCATTTCTTATTACACAGCCAACTCTGGAGAACAATCTTTACTGTATTGTTTCAGTAAGTTTTGGATTCTCATTGAACCATTTCAGCCAGAAGTACACACCTAGATGAAAATATTTTTAAGAAGTAGGAATGGTCCAGTGTTTGAGGCACATTCTTGTAGCCCTATCTATGCTAGGAAACATGTTAAGCTGAAAGCAGTGTTGCTAACATGCAGACAAGAAAGAAAATGAGTTAGTAATTTGTTTATTCTTTTACAGATATCAGTAAATTAGCTGTTTAAGAAAGGGTTAGCCAAGTTTTTCATTAAAGTCTTGTACTTTTTAAGGTCTACTGTATCTGGGTTAAAGACAGCCCATCTCTGTTTACTTGGATTGTTTTTTTGGTGAGGCATGGGGAACATACACTTAGCTAGCACTCAGTAGAGGCATTATAAGGGAAAAATGCTTGCACCACCTGGGAAGGGGGAGAATGCCACTGGAGATCTTTGTGGTAAAACTCATTCAGCTTCTCAAGCTTATGATGGCTTTGTTTTTCACCTTTTAACTTTGATTGAGTCTATTCTGAGGGGTTTTTTTTGTGTTAAATATGTAATGTGCAATATGCATTTGTCCTTTGTAAAGTATATAAGAACTTTATGGTGTCTCTATTTATGTCTGGTCAAAGGCAAGAAGACTGTTCATCATTTTTGTCACCTTGCATATGCTGCTGTAACAACCTGCTTACATGTGACAGTTAAATGTGTGTAAGGGAGAACTCTGGGTGACTGATGTACTGTGAAGGGATGAGGGACATTTTTGCTAAGCCCCCTGGTTGTTTCCTTGCAGGCTTCATTTCTACATTCTATCTGTAGGCTGGTTCTGGATTGGTTGTATACAAAGGGGGCTCAATAGCCTTGATTGTAAAAAACCTGTATAAATTGAGGTCAAGACTGAGTTAATGAAGATTTGTATCTTCAGCCTTTGCTCTGAAAGTCTGTACAATTTTTTTTTTTGTCAGTTCTTATCATTTTACTGTCTTTTTTTCTACAGAGAATGAAATATTAATTTTCTTTCTTTGGTGAGCCTTGTAATTCAATGTGATGTGACACCATTTAAAAGCAATGACATACTTCTCCTTTTCCTGTTGCCTAGCTGGGCCTTAGTCTGGTATTAAATTTTACTTAAACTTGAGCTTGCATCTTGGAAGGACTTTCATAATTTCTTTTTTGTTATTGTTTGACAGAAAAGCTGTGTATTGTCAAAAGAGTACAAAAGGCCAGCTAAACATAAATGTCTGTATATGTAGGTGGAGAAAGACTGCAGCTTTCAGTCTTGGGTCCCTGTTCTGCAGGAATGCCAGCTGGGCTCCTGTTCATAGAGGTCTGGGGGAGGTGGCTGTCAGTCCTCTCTCTTTATTCCTAGTGAATGAGAAGGGACAGACAGCTCTTGGGCCATGCAAACACATGTTCAAGCTTCTTTTGCCACAAAAGAGTACAGAAGGCCAGCTAAACATAAATGTCTGTATATGTAGGTGGAGAAAGACTGCAGCTTTCAGTCTTGGGTCCCTGTTCTGCAGGAATGCCAGCTGGGCTCCTGTTCATAGAGGTCTGGGGGAGGTGGCTGTCAGTCCTCTCTATTCCTAGTGATTGAGAAGGGACAGACAGCTCTTGGGCCATACAAACACATGTTCAAGCTTCTTTTGCCGTATTTATGGTAAGATGTACTACTCTAGTTCTCTCCTTTTTATTTACTGCCTTTTGTTCACATTTATGCTGGACTTTTTCTGCCTCTGACTCATTTCCTCTTCAGTTTTTACTTCCTTGCCAAGATGCTTTTCATTTTCATTTTGCATGTTGCCTAGAACACATTCTCCTGAGTCTTTGCTAATTCCATTTTGATTAGCTTTTTATTTTGAGTAGAGATTACATAGAGAGAAAAGAATGCTTAAAATTTAGATGGTTGTTGGATGATTTCCTAGCATAACCTGAAGCTTGCATTCCAGGATTTATGCATGGTATCAAAATTGTCTTTAGGATAATGCACAGAGCTTCTGTGCTCCAAGGCACTTCACTTGTGTTAACTGGGTTCTTGAATCAAATATGGTTCAGGTGAAGTGGTAAAAACATTGTGAAGGACATGTCTACTCTGTTCTGAATCGTTTTGCCGTGTTAAGAATGAAAAACCTGTCAATGGATGGATAATTTAATGAGGAGAACCAGTAAGAACAGGATCCCATTTCAGAAGGCTGTTAAACAGAAATTGAAAACCTTCTGAATGAAGACTGGCACAGTTCCAGTGTTGCTGCCTGCCAGAAGATTATGAAATGCAGTTAAAAAATACTGCTACTGTTAAAGAAATATTGCAGCACAGCACCAGTATTTCAGCTTACAGAAAGGCTGATGTGTGTATTACAATCAGGAATAACTGCTATTTCATGTAATCTCAGTAGTGTTATGTTAAGAGGAGCATTCAGAAAACATAGGAGCTTTCCCCAAAGTGTTAACATTATTTTGGTGCTGTGAACATTCGTAAAACCTTCAGTGGAGTGAGAATGATAGCAAAACCATACTCTTCCTCCCAAACAGGTGAGATTTACTTTAACTGAAATTGTGAAGTGCACAGACCTTTTAATTCCTGTTTCTGCATTCCACATTCTTAGGTCCCAAATGACTGGGTCTGCTAGCTATTTCCTTACTGTGTACAATCTTAGCAGCACAAACCAACTATAGAATATTTTAAGCATCTGTTCTGGAAAATCAAGTGACTTCAGTTAGAAGATATTGCAATAATTTAGAATGCAAGTAGATATTGTGATATTCTTGATCAAGATAGCGATGACAGAGGACATCTTTTTCTTAATTTATTGGGAGTTTAGTTATTTACAGTTACATTTCTGGTTTGGGTTTGCTGTTTTAAGATGCATATGGTCTCTATGTACAATTGACAAACTTCTTCCTCCTCCCATCCCAATTCACTTCATGCACATCCATGACAGATAAAACATTTTGTAGTTTTGTGTTGGCTGTAATGGTTTTACAGCAAACATTCTGTGAAGCAGCCAAGTGCCCTCAAAGTCTTGTGTCAGCCCCAGGAAATCCTGTGAAGGGCTTTGGCATTTCCTATGGGTGATGTTAAACCTTGCCCAATCTGCAAGTAATCTGCAGCAGGAACTGGTGTACTGCAGATGCCAGGGCAGGCCTGGGCTCTGGCACAGCATCAGTAGTGTGTGACTGTGCAGCAGCAGGGCTCTACCACAGCTTGGGCTGGGTTGGTAAAGTTGTATGCACAGGGTCAAAGGAAGTCGGGGATTTTTTCTCCCCATCCCTCTTTTGAGAACCTATGAGATCCACAGCTTGGGCTGGGTTGGTAAAGTTGTATGCACAGGGTCAAAGGAAGTGGGGGACTTTTTCCCCCATCCCTCTTTTGAGAACCTATGAGACCACATCTGGTGTGGGTGGTCAGGTGTAAAGGAGGGCTAACTGTCAGATGTTTTCAGTCACTGCTTTAAAAGCTTGGCACCCTAAGTGCAGATCTTGTGCTGCTTAGGTTGTATGGGTTATGTTTTAAGTTTAGAAATCTAAGTCTGAAAGGCACATTGGTTCTGTCTGAAGAAGTTGGTTTTTGTTCTGTAGCTTTCCTTTGTTTGGCTTGGTGTTTCTCATCAGCTGTGTTATGAGGACTCTTTTGCAGAGGGACTGTTGCATTTGTGAGCTTAATTGCCCATCCTGAGGGCTGCTGGGGAAGATGATCATTGCTGTGGCTGTGGCTGATTTGCAATTATCCTGCAAAGCTCTTTCTTCTGTGCATTTCTGTGATGTTATGCTGACTATTCCTGGTTGGCCTTCTCTGGCTCTGCCAGCTAGTTCCCAGTGACCCTGTTGCCACTTGTCCCATTTTTCAGAGTGGAATAAAATGAAAATTCTTCTCGTGCAGCTGAAGGGTTTTGCATCTTACTCACCTTTTCTCGAGTATTTTTGTTTAAAAGCTTTTATTGTTCTCATGTTTTTAGCATCACTTGTATGGTCTGTGGGGGTTTCAGATCAGTTCCCCACTCCTGAAGGGATTAGCACGTCCCAGGCTGCTCATGGAAACCATGTCCTCAATTCAGAACAACTTTCTGCATTTTGATCTTTGCAAGAGATGCATGTATCTGAACTAGTTACTAGAAGTTCCCTTTATTGACTGTGATGAAAATAGTCTCTTCTAGGGTATCATTCAGCTGGTGAGAGAAACTGCATACCTCAGTGGGGAGCACTTGGTGACAGTCATGGGTGCAAACATCTGTATTTTATCAGGTGTCATCCCAAAAGAACTAGTCCTGGGTGTTCAGTTTGCTGGTTTGGCTGTTGTGAGCCCTTAAATAGGTCACTGAATGGGTGATGAAAATATTCAAGTAAAAAGAATGTCTTTGAACCTTTCCATTTTCCATTGAGGAAATACTGAAGCATGTAGCAAGAATTCTCAGATAAGACCTTGATTGGCCTTCATCCCAGTCTTAATGATCTCTTAAAAGCCAGTGCTGCTGAAGCATATGAATCTAAACTATGATGGCACACCAGAGACACCTATTGTAGGAGAGCATTTCTGATGTATAAAATTCCATGTTTCATTCTGATATGAGTTGGAGTATTCAAACTGATTCAGTGGTTTCTCATTATTAAGGGAGGGAAAGGACAAAATGCTAGTATAATTATGTGAACATTAAAACCATAGCTAAAGGGATCTTCTGTGCAATAAATAAACATTTTCTAATTTCAGTTTACTTTAGTACCATGAAAAAGTACTTTCTCTCCTACCCCAGGCAACTTTTAAACTCAGGACCTCAACTAAAAAAATACTTTCTCTTTTTTCTCTTTTTACAGTATATTCACTCATCAGGCATAATTCACAGGGTAAGTGGAAAAACATGAAAGATGTTTATATTTTGATAATGTGTGTGATGTTTGTGTGTAAGCACACTTTTAAATAGGCCTGAAATTCTGTTTATAGGTTTTCTCAGTTTGTTGGTGCCTTTGATATCTTCTTCAGTGAGGACAAAAACTGGCATGGCTATGTCAGTGTAAGCTGGGCACTCAAGTTGCACTGAATACAGCTTAGATTTGGGGTTCCTAGATCATTTTTTGAAGCTGAGTTGTAAGTCTCCACAAGAGCAAATAGTGTCTAAATTGAGGTAGATAAGAGTTGGGGTGTTTTTTGTTTGTTTTTTAATAAAGATTAAACTTTTAAAAACAATATTTAGGTTTTCTTTAAATATTTTATTAGTGTTCAGAGTTTTGGAACAGTAGAAACTGAAAAAAATTGTCCAAAATTATAGAGACTTAAGAACCTCACTTTTTTTCTGAGAGAAATTAAGCATTTGTTGTGGGTTGTTTTTTTTTTTTTTAATCCCTTCTCTATATAAAGTCTATTTAAAATCACTTCTGCACTGTGAAGAAGGAGTTCTGAATGAAGGCCTTTGTGGTACCAAGCAGCATATCTTCCTCCAAAACTGCATTAGAACAGTAGAAATCGTCCATTTTTAATAAAGTGTCAGGAGCACCATAGAAAGTGCACATTGTATAATAGCTTTAAGCTGGACATGGAAACTACACAACTGACAAAATAATGTAAGATATTTATATTTTTATTCTTGCAACTGCTGGATCATGGTCTAAATTTACCCTTGCTTAGTTTTCTTCCAAGACTCTTGAGCTTCTTGGTTTCATTGTGGTTTTTTGCACCAAATTGTTTCTCTCCAACGCCTCTCTGATCTTAAAAGCTCTTTGTATCAAACAGATGGATCCCTGTTAAAAAGTTCAGAGAGAAGATACTTCTAAAGATCTTGTGCTAAAGTGTATCAAACAAAGGTTTGAGAAAGCCAAGGAAAATGTATATCTAATTATATTTGTCTGAGTCACTGATGTTGCAATATCATGTTAGTCCTTGCCAGTAGTCTTCCCTTTGCTAAACTTTACAACTGTGGAGGATCATTAGAAATCTCTAAGGTGGCTTAAGGGACTTAAGGGAATACTTCTTTCATGTTCTTCTTAGGAAATTGGTTTTTCCACAGAAGAGAGTATAGGGTTTTATGTAAAATCTTGCTTGATTATTTCAGTGCTCCTTCTAAGTCTGTCAGGGTAACAAACCTTTATAATGCATATTTTGGTATGCAACATGTACAGTCCAGAACTATATATGTGAATTGTTAACCTTGTGGTGTTACTATTAAATGCAACAAATCTATGCCCAAACCCCTCTCCTAGAAAAAATTAGTGAATTCCTTCACTGGAAAGTATTTTTCTGACTTATATCAGCAAAAAAAATATTTTTCTTGGGGGGAAGAGAGCCAAATGTGCAAGTTTGCATCCTTTTTGTATTATTTGTGTTATTATTTGTTTGTATTATTTGTGTTATGACATCATTTTACCTTTGCTGTTCAAAATAGTTACATAAAAACTATAAAACCAGAAAAAAAGAAGAAAAGCAGCAAAAAAGAGTATTGTCTTGCTCTGAAATAAAAAAAATCCAAAAAATTCATTTAAAATCTGGTTGCAGGATCTAAAGCCTGGGAACTTGGCAGTAAATGAAGACTGTGAATTGAAGGTAAGATATGTTTATTTGAAAAAACAGTCAGACGTGTTAGAAGACAGAAGACAACAGGTGCAGCAGCTGTGGACATGCTGGCTGGTTTCAGTGTTGGGCTTTCTGCTCTTGAATCACAACTGGCCTGTACATCCTCACAAAACAACAGGGAATTTGAATGAGGATTTTTGTGTCCTGATGTGTAAGGACCCATCAAATCTTATGGCCTAGGTATTGTCCCTAAAAGAGACACAAGAGTTGATGGGAGTGATTCGGTTATGTGAGATTTTCAGCTTTAAATAAATAGAAATAAGTCTAACTCCACAAGCTGGGAGATAGAGAAGATCAAAGGTTGTGAATGACACCCTTAACTGAATAAAATAAAAGGTGATGCAAAGCACTACAAAAGTGGTTCATAGCATGCAACATGCAAAATATATTTAATTTCAGCTTTAAATAAATAGAAATAAGTCTAACTCCACAAGCTGGGAGATAGAGAAGATCAAAGGTTGTGAATGACACCCTTAACTGAATAAAATAAAATAAAATAAAAGGTGATGCAAAGCGCTACAAAAGTGGTTCGTAGCATGCAACATGCAAAATATATTCTTGTATGTAGCCATTGTAATGCAAATTTTGGTCTTTGGAGACTGACCCAAATGTTCCAGGGTCCTGTAATTTTAGTGTTTTTCTATTTAACACAAAAAGCTAGTGACTTTTCCTGGCTTGGAGGTGGCCAAATGATGAGTGGAACCCAGGGTGCTGGGAAAAGGAGATAGTGTAGAAAAAACAGTTGTATATGGATGTCTTCCCACACACAATTATATTTTGAGATGCAGACCAGGTGTCTCCTGATTTGTGTCTACTTATTTTACAAATCTTTTTCTGCACACTCTAAAGTCAGTTTATGCAGGCACAGGATCATGTTGCCAGGAATAGTGCAACCATTTTCCCCCATGTCTGCACTCGGCAGCTTCCCTTGCATCAGCTCCAGTGATGATGAGACTGGAAGCAAGTTGGAGCAATTCCTTTAATGGTAATTAATTTGCTATCAGGTTTTTCACAATGAGCTTTCTGATGCTCGTTTTTCCCTCATCTGATGCTCTCAACTCCTGCATAAGTATCCATCTACACAGTGGAGGGTGTATGAGTGGAAATCACTGTCCTTTCTGTAGTCTCAAAATTACAAGTTATTTTTGTCAGTTAATGAAAAAACTTAGGAAAATTAAGTTTGCTGAGTCAAAGGAGACCTATCCTTAAGGAGCTCAGGGAAATTAGATCATTGTTTCATAATTCAGAAATAATAAGAAGGATTTTCAACCATGCTCTGAAAATTGCTGTGGAAGTTCAAGCTGAAAAGTTGAAGATTGGAGTGTGAGAATAAAAATTTTGTATGAAGATAGTTGTTGAAATGGTACCATGTTAAGTACAAATAGGATACACTTGTTCGTGAACTTAATGAAATGTACATGAAACTAAATCATGAAGTTAAAACATAATATACAAAAATTCTTGCTGCAATTTTCTACTTTTACAAAACCAAATTATCTTTTAGCTGTTTCCAACTCTACCTGTCAGAAGCCTTGGTAGATAAAATGCCTAAAAGACTTTGACAGAATAGACTGTATCACATCTGGATTTGACCTGTTACTTTTTTTTTTTTTTTCTTCCACCCTCCCTGCTCTCCTACTGGGAAAATATTATGTGTGCTGAATATGTGCAATAAAAGCCATATATAAAGGTTTATACAAAAATTATATATACAAAAATGTTGCATCTAGTAAATCTTGAGTACGCAAGAATCAGCCACAATCAAGTGTATTTAATTGCTATGAATAAAAAATTTCTCCCTTTGCATTCTGTTCCTGTTTTTAAATTGATTGGTAATCAGCAGTTATGAGGAAAACATGGAAATTATATTTCCAGTATGGCAATAAAGATAAGCCATGACATTTTGTGGTCTTGATTTGTGAATGAAGAATATATTTTTCCTTCTTGTTAGTGCCTGGGAATGATGAAACTATCCTGAAGTATTTTAGAATGCTTAATTGCAGAGAGCATTACAAAAACCTGACTCTTGGCATAGGAATGCTCAGGTGTCCCTATTAAAACCCCTGCCCTATTAATAAACATGTGCAGCATGATTCACATGGCAAACTGTGGCTGCTCATGCAGAGCTTCATGTTTGGTTATCTGTGTGTGACCATGATTTATCTTCAGTAGAACTTGCCTTACCCATGCCTCCCGGTTCTTGTTAAAAGCATGAACTTTCCAATAAATACAAACTGATTGTCATTCCAGAAATTGAATTTTCTTGCTGTTTTCTGCATCTTTGGGTGGTCCATACAGTGAGCCTTCTTAAGGCAGATTTTATAGAAGTTGACAAAAGGCCATAACATTCATTTTTAATCTTGCTGCTGTACACATTGCTATACCTAGAGAAAACTATCTGAGAATCTTAGAAATAAGCTGAATTGTGCATAGCACTTTAAAAAATTGCACGGATCTTGCATTTGTTACAAAAGGTATTTCTGTAGTTGATGCTGGAGGTTGAAGAAGACTTGATGGCACTAAGTGATGGTAATTCCCTACTCTTGTAGCCAGTTTTCAGTGTGACCTAGAGCAAGTCTTCCCTTGTATCAGTTATTCTTAAAGTAGAAATAACAATATCTTATTTCTTCAGAATATTGTTGGAACACACTCTTGAATAATTATGCCACCTGGGATATGAGAGCAATGGACACTCTAAAATGTGTGCTGTTCTTTTAGCTGTAACTCAATAGTGTGGTGATTCTGTGGTCAGGGAATATTTTACATTAAATGTGTCCAGTATCTTTTTGATTAATAAGTGAATAATTTATCATTTTCTTTACTGGTTTTACAGCTTTTGATGGTGCCATAGAAGTAAGTAACTTGAAAAAAAGTTATTCAAATCTCTGTGCCACCTCTGTCTTGATTTTTAAAATGAGAACAAGAGACTACAATGAGAAAAATATACAAAAATAAACTAATCTCTGAAGATTGCTCCAGTTTTGTTTTTTTTCTTCCTACATTTGTAAAGAACTGTATGAACTAGATAGCAAGCTATCTGATCTGAATGTGCTTTGTGCTTCCACTGCAGATCCTGGATTTTGGATTGGCAAGGCATACAGACAGTGAGATGACTGGCTATGTGGTTACAAGGTGGTACAGAGCCCCAGAGGTCATCCTTAACTGGATGCATTATACTCAGACAGGTCAGTGTCTCTTCAAAGGTATCTTAACAGAGCTAAAGCATTCACTGGATCAGGTGATATATACACAAGGCTTTGCTTCTGAAAAGAAATTGGAGGTGGAAATGACAATATAATTATGCAACATTTCCTTGTAGATAAATTGCAGGTAATTATGTGATGGTGAATTTGGGGATTTTTTTATATATGTTTTCTGAGAGTAACAGAAAATGCCAAGGTTATTAGAAAAAAAATATTTAAATTATACAGACATGACAGTCTGGTTTCTCTTCTTGTATTCCTGTAAAGGTGTGCTGATTTTAATTTGAACAGACAGGGAGAAATGGCAAATGGAGGGAATTCAATTAACAGTATGGAAGTTTTTGACAGTACTGAAAATTTACTTCCTGTGCCTGTTACTGAGAAAGTCATTCTGCATATTATGAGATTATCTCCAGTTTGCTCATTAGAAAGTCTGGTAGTTTTACCTGTGCTGTTCATCATACTTGGCAAGGCACAAATTTATTTTATAACAGGCTATAAAGGTAATTTTTATACTTTTTTAAAATATGTTTTAAATTAAACTTTATGCACATTTAAACAGACAGGTTAATGTGCCTCTTGGTGTTTTTTTCAGTTGACATCTGGTCTGTGGGCTGTATAATGGCTGAGATGATAACAGGGAGACCTCTGTTCAAGGGAAATGATCGTATCCTTCAGTGAATTTATGATACTGATGTAAGAAAATTATGAGAGGTTGTTATGTGATACAGTAAGTCTGTTGCAAAACAGATGAGTATGAATTGAAATTAATAGTAAAATGGCTTGCAGCTTTCTCATTAAATCCTTATTTCATATCTGAACTACTTTTGCACACCTGCCAATTAAAACTTGTATTAGTGATTTTTTTCATTAGAGTTGATCTTTGAATCACATTTAAATAATCAAGTAAAGGCTCTGTCATAATAGAAAAGCCTTTTTTTTCCTAGTGCATGCAATACATGTGTTGATTGTTTAGATACTCTTAATATTTTTGGACTGATTTTTGTCCAAACAATACAGAACAAGCCTGATGATATTATAAAATTTTGCAAATGATTCAATTATGTGTTCCCAGATTGCAGGATATTTTATTTGCCTTTTCTAAGAGAAATTGAGAACTTTAATATTTTATAAATCTTCTGTTCAGTCATTGAATTAGGATTTCTACATTACTCTCCAACAGCAAAGAAATGCATTACTTTTGTAGGATGCTTAGTTTCCTAATAGTGAAAGAATTTGTTCCTTATTTCTGGTATTCAGATCTGGACCAACTCACAGAAATAATGAAAATAACAGGTACACCAACTCAAGATTTTGTTCAAAAATTGCACAGTCAAGATGTGAGTATTCTGATTTGTCAGTTGGTTTTCCATGTCTTAATTTTCCTTTAAGCCATGCTCAGTTGTTAGGCTGAGGTAATATGTCTTGACTACTGATATGGCCCCTGATGGTCGTTCTCTGCATTGCCATGATTTATGCACCCACACTAGCTACTGGAAGTGGAGGGTGGAATGACAGAAAATTATCAGAATATTATTTAAATATTTCAGGATTCCAGTGTGTACCATATAAACAGCTGAGGTGATACATGGCAACTTTTATTGTAAAGGTACTAAAAGCACAAAGATATTCAGAAAACCCGGTTTTTTGAAAATATCTCTTTCCTGTCCTTATGTCAATGTCTTTTTAGAATCCTGAGGCCTTTACTATAAGGAACCAAAATTTATTCATTAGTGTAACTGTTCAGTTTAAATATAAAGGAATTAGTGTATAAGGTTCACTTCTAGAGACTGCTGTAAACTCACTATGATGTTCTTTCAAATAATTAATACATATTCATTTGAATAAATATATTAAATTTGGAGCACTAATAAAGCTTCGCATTATAATTTCTAAATCATGGTTTTAAAGTTTGATTAAAAAAAGATTCCGTTCAGAAGGAAGGTGAATATCATCAGAAGAAATGCATTTGTACAATGGGATGTTAAAATATTGTTGAGAAAGATACTAAGCATACAGTTAATGTCTCATTACAAAGAAGGTAAAGATCTAATTTAATATTCATGTTTCTTTTAAGGCAAAAAATTATATCAAAAGCCTCCCAAAGGTCCAGAAGAAAGATTTTGCATCCATCTTGAAGTATGCAAATCCTTTGGGTAAGGCTGTTTGTATGCGTGTGTACAGCTTGTTCTTGTGTTTGCATTGGAGGCAGCTGCATTATCGTTCTGTCATGTGACAGGGGATGTGGTGGTTCTTGGGCTATTCTGTCTCTTGCTTTCCATAATTCATAATTTTGATTGTAGCAACTGAAGTTTAGACCCTGTCAGGAATCAGTTGTTTCTCACAAGCCTCAAAAAAATAGTATTTTGTGTTTTGGTTTCAATCTAGTAGCTGCTTATTGGTTTTACTTGAGCAGTTTTCTCAAGAGCCCTAGCATATTAAGTATATGTAATAAAATTTTCTCTGTACTGTATTTGAACTACAATTCTGAAAGCCCAATGTGATCTGCAATTGAAATACAAGAAAATGAAAAGCTGACATTTTAGTAATGGAATTAATACATCCTGAGAAACATCTGTGCATTCCTGAGAAACAATGGCTTGGATTCCATAGATCTTAACAGCCAGAAGAACCTACCAACTGTGCATAACTGTGACATGACCTGAAGCAGGCTGAGCTCTGAAATTACTCTCCTTAAGCATTATCAATTCCCCAATGATCTAAACACTAACAAGCCAGTTTTATTAGAATATTAATTAGGATAATTGAATTTTCTTAATTTAAAATTTTAGGTTCAGATACAGTACAAATAAATCTGATTAATAAACAGCTCTTACCCTTACTGCATGGTTAGCTGATGGGTAGCTACAGCAAGCTATACATTTCCATTTAGTTCTTAGGATGTCTTTTATCCTTTCTGTGGCCATCTGGCTGCTTCAGGTCTGGAATAGTTTGAAGAGAATATGCAACATGGCAAGCAGAAGTCCTGTCCCACACTTCTTGGGGTGAGGCATCACTTCCCACACTGCCTCTACTTCCTTTCAGCTGCACCAAACTCAAGAACATCCTTTCAGGATAGAAAAGCAGAAAATAAATGAGTCATTCATCATACCTGTTTACACTAGTCCATTTTGACAGTCTAGCAATGGACTGAATCCAGAATCCACAGGAGGGGAACATGCAGAACTTTAATGGGTTGTTTTGGCTGAGGTCAAAACCACATAGCAGATGAAGTTAGCTCTGAGATTCTGAGTATGGACAACTGACCTGTGAACTTCAGAGTGTACCTGGTCTGGATTTGGTGACACAGAGTGCAGTTTTCATCTGCTGTTCACCTGTCCATTCAGCTGCTGTCAGGGGGGTGATGTACCTTAGAACCACAGTGAGTGGCAGTGATTAAAGACACCTGGGAAGTCCCAGGCACAGTGGTCCTGGAGCCAGAGGCTGAGAAGTCATTAGCTGAGATGTTTTCTGAATTGCATACAGAAGCAAGGGAGCCCCTCTACATTGCATCAGGCTTTGTACACATCCCAGCTTGCTCACAACAGTCATGCATAGAGGCCCCACTGGCTGTAAATGGACACACAATGATTCTGTTCTATTACTCCATGGATTTATTGTAATACCTCCAGGGCAGTATTACTGTGTACAAGTGGAATCAAGTGTGTGATTTGAATACACTGTTGGTTTTCTGTGCAATAGCTGTAAACCTTTTGGAGAAGATGCTGGTGCTGGATGCAGAGAAGCGAGTCACGGCAGCTGAGGCTTTGATGCATCCTTACTTTGAACCGATTCACGATCCTGAGGAAGAAATTGAAGCTGAGAAATACGACGACACATTTGATAACATGGATCTTCCACTAGATGAGTGGAAGCGTGAGTTTAATTTTGTGATGTTTTCAAAAATAACCAGATGGAAAGGCCATGCAGAAATAAAAATGTTGTCCCTTACAAATGAACTCCTCTGCTTTTGATTGAACAGATCAAATAGACAGCACTAAGAGAAACGCTACTGTTAAGCCAGTGTTCCTCTTGCCAAGTTCTTGTGGAAGGATCTCTAAAGGTTTCTTCTCTGCTTCCTAACAGAGGCTGTCCTCCATTTCCCTAATGTTTCTGTCCTCCCATCTTCTGCAACATAGAAAAGAAACTATTTCTGTAACTTGCTAGAGCAGGTGAAGAGATTGTTTTGACTTTGCCTCTACAGGATTGCAGTGGTTGCTGCCTTAATGTTGGAATCTCTGAGGAAGAAAATACATATCTGTGTCAGCAGAGATTTAAGTCTAATCTTGTTTTCATCTAAGGTCAGAGGTTTGTAGTTTGGCTTTTAAGTGAGGACCTAACTTTTAAATCCAGCATGCTCAGTAGCTGTTGCTGAGGATATTGCCCACTATACTCAAAAGTCAGTGCTCACATCCCTTTGAAAGCACCTATACCATTTCAGTATTGGGCTACTTTTTCAAATCTGAAATGGTGAAAAAGCCATTCTTGATTCCCTTACTTTTTGTACTCTTCCTGTCTTTTTGCCTGAAGAGATCTCTCTCTTCCTGAGCTAGATCAGAGCCCAGCCATGCTGGGGTTGCACCTTGCTCATTCATGTTTGTGCAGCTCCTTTTCTGATTAGACCACAGCAATGCTATGTCTATTCTGTTGTTTTGCAGGCATTACATATAAAGAGATACTGAACTTCAAGCCACCACAGACATTGGACTCAAAGGAGACAGCAGTGTAATGGCTCAATATTTTCAGAACTCTGAGGAAAGCAGAAGAGTTGTAAATGTTTGTGACATTTCAGGTGTATAAAACTTCTTATGAATAAGCTCTATGTAATCTGTTTCATCTGCACTGTAACAATGTCCTTTACTCTGCATGTGGAAATTGGTGCCTTTGGGCATAGCATTTCAAAAATATCCAGAAACTTATTTCTGCCTACAAACTTCTTCTACACAAAAGGACTCAGACTGCAATAACCTGGTGGCATCCTCAAAAGAGCAGGATTAATTCTTCAACTCAGAGATCTGAAGAGTACAAGTTAGCACCCCAGGCAAGCTGAGAACACAGTATGTCTGATGTGCTGTGACTGCTCTCCAAGGCCACTGAACCATCTTGAATGCGAGAAGTATTCATGTGACTTCCTCTGGAATATTTCACTTTGCTGAGATGCCTGGGAAGGCCAATCTTCTCCTGTTACCTCAGGGACTGCAGTGGGTAGCAGAGACACAGCCCAAGTGAATGCCTGCATCCCCTGTCTGGTGTGAAGAGAACCTCAGAAGTGTTGAGGTCCTAGATTTTTTTCAAAGTAACCAGCATAGCAGGGCAGGATTTCATAAACTTGCTAGGTGAACAGTCACCGGATATATAATCACTGTACAATATTTTTCCCTAAATACAGTGTATTTTCTTTGTATAGTAGACTAGAGATCAAGGATTTACTGGGAGAAATTATTCAGATTTTCTAAAATTTTGTAAGCTCTCCAACATCTTAGTATTGAAATTATCTCAGACAATCAGCAGTGCTGATTTTAAAAATAAAGCTGCATGTAGGTCACTTTATAGGAAATGCAATGAGGACCAAAATGATACACTGCAGCTCTTCACTGGGAATTCCTGCAGCAAGCTGTTTTTTTCACAGTGTACAAAGCTGTTACCAGGTGAGGAATAATAATCATTCCCTTTTTTTACTGATTTGAACTCATCTTACTTCAAAAAATATGCAGATCTTTTGTGGAGAGGTACCTTAGCAGAAGGAGTCAGCTTCCTGATGGGATAGATTGGTTAGATACTTCCTGAGTTCCTCTTACTGTCCTTTTACTGTATTTTCCTGGGTGCTTTGTTCATACGAGTCTCTGAGAGGTGGGAAAAAGAACTGGCAAACCTTTGTGAAGAATTCCTGTGTGAAATTGCTTGTCTTTCTTAACGGTAGTATCTCCACAGATACTTCACTGATTACATTCCCTATGTAATACGCTGTGGTGTGTTACTACTGAGTGAAATGAATGTGAAAGAAAACATTTGATTCTAGCAGGTAGTAACTGGAAAAAAGAAGAAATTACTTAGGTTTGGTTTTTTTTGCTTTAATATCCAATATAAACCATAAGTTTAATAAAGGCATAGTTACTCTGTTTCTTTCAATGAATGTTTGAATTACACAACTGTAAATATTAGCATTTGTTTAAAAATTGTTTGTGATGAGAGTTGATTAGCTGAGGTGGACACCTAGAGAGACTAAATAGTAACAGAAACCTTCAATTCATGTATTTGACAAGTCATTAAAAATGGCAGTTTCAGGAAGTAATGAAAAAAAAAAGCAGAGAATGTATATTGAATCAAAATATTTTTCCAAACTGCAGGTTTCTCACAGAGGAAGGCATACTTAAGGGTCATACCCCATTTTGCACTATGGACTTTCTGCTTGGTCTACACATCTGTAGAATAGAAACTTTATCTTTTATAGAATAGATGTTTTCTCTTAGGATCGTGTTCTTTGGTCTTCTTAAAAGTCATGGGAGAAAAGTGCCTCTTGGAATTAGTGGTGTTGATAGACTGAGTCAAAGGGAAATGAAAAATGTCAAACACTTACTTGAAAATGCTGCCTCTATATTTTAAATGGATTTCTACGTCCTAAATTCTAGCAAATGCCTAAAGTCTGGCGATAATGCAGATGGCTCAAATGTTAGTCAGACTAGGAGGGAGCATTTTTTAAATTGAAAAACTGCTTTGCATTTTCTTCCTGAAGGCTATCTCTTCAGTGGGCATTTCCACAAAGTCAATCCCTAAAATCCTCCACTGGCTGAGGTGAACTTTTCCCTCTCTTAATTTTAACTTAGCATTGGAAAAACAGCCAGCACACGTGAGAAAGACCTAAAAAGATAGTGTTAGCTTTTCTTGGTAGTGGAGAAATACAGAACCCTTAAAGAAACCGAAGACCTTGATTGCATATGTCAGGGAAAACAGAAGTACTGCTGTGCCATCAGCAAATGGCAAAACCAACATCAAGTTGGTCAAGAAGTTTCTGTGAAGAGATTGAATTTTGCAGAAATGGCTCCAAGTGGCAATAGAGATCATTAAAAGAACTGTGAGGTGAAAGCAGAAATACTTTGCAGTGGAAGCAGCTGCTACTCCAAAGGGAGAGACAGCAGTTCCTAAGTTTTTATTTGCTATTCCTACCGGTGCTAAGCGACTCAGGTATAAGAACCCAATTGCTGTTTGCCTTAAAAGAGAAATGTAAATACATTCTGCATGTACATGAAATGTGTTGTGACAAATAAAGGTTGTGAGTTTGTTTTTTACACAATAATGGTCGTATTTTCCTTATATGTATTCCCAGATGTATAATCAGTACTGAAATTATTTTTGGTAAAGAGATCTGTATGAAACTAGTATTGTAGCTGTTATTACATTTCATGTAATAATAGCTGCTGATACAGATTCTTTTGGAAGCTACTCAGGCCACAGATGCTAATCTTTCTCCCATTTTCTGAATCCAGAGTTGCCACAGAGCTGATCTGACTGTACAACTGCCACCAGATTATTTCTTAACAGCTTCTTGGATTTTACCAGACATCTCTGCTTTGTTCTGAAGGACAGGATTTTGGTTCTTAAATGCAGTTGCATTTCTCAGCCTGATTTTAAAAGCCAAAGTCAGACTGATGGTCGTCAAGCATATATATCTTTTGAGTTGGACAGGGAAGTTTGAGTTAACCAAGTTCCAATAGGATGTATGGGGCTCACATGCTCCCTGACTATTTTAGAGCAAGATTGTCCCTTTAAGTATTAGTTTTTGTTGCATTGAATACTCACCAAATGTTGATTTTTGATAATGTGTTCCTGTGGGCCAGATGTGGTCCACAACTTCCTTTCTTATTTTCTTTTTTTTTTATTTTTAAATAGGATATTACTGAGGTGCGTGCTAATGTGTCCTGTAAAATGTGCTCAGAAGATGCACTTTGTTCTCAATTGGGAATTATTGGGCATATGAGCTGGGTGGGATTCTTTGAATTTCGTACTTTCTGATCTGCTGTTCAAAAGTGAGTACCAGATGCTTCTGGTCTGTTACAGCTGAAGTTCTCAAAGAATGAGGCATCTGTTAGATGCTATCATGCCCTGGATCTTGGTATAAAGTAGCCATGTATTTTGACGATCCCTGCAGGGACCACAGAAAAGAATAGGGGCTCAAAGCATCTGCTGTCTCTGCTGATTAATTCTCCATCTCCTGCATAAACTGGTGGCAAGTGGTTGTATAAGCCAAACAATACCAGAAGCAGTTTAATGCACAGCAGTGTTTAAAATCTCCTAAGTCTTCGTAAGAATTCAGAAGCCTGAGTTGGAGAAAGATCAAGGGAGGAAGACTTCCATCATGCAGACACTCTTTGAAACTTCATGGAGTACCACTTAATGAGCAGCTCTCGTGCACAGATCATTTGTAGCCTGTGGAGTAGAAATGTCTGAAAACTGTATTTTCATCTAGCAACCATCTGCAGCTCTGAGGCAACTCTGGGACTGATGTATGCTTTTTAGCTACCAGGAGCAACATCCCACAAGGAGGTGAGTGGGGACAAGGAAGGTGTTTTAATGATTCATCATTTTTGTCTGCTGCTGTTTTACACTGTAATGGGGTTACTTTTCTAGCCAGGAGTTTTGTAGTTTGTGGTTTGTGGTCTGCTTCATGAGTAAGCAATGAGGTGCATTTCCCAGCAAAGTTAGAGTGATCCAGGCATGCAGCTCTTACAGCTTTCATCGAAGCATTTTGAATATGCTGTTATCTTTGAGAAGCCAAATAGACTGCCAGTGAAACAAATGAAATGCAAGGAATGGAATTGCTCAGGTCCTATTTGAGAATATTCTTGGTTTTGCCTTGCAATATCCTTTGAGCACATGCTCCTGGGGATCAGGTAAATTCTCTTGCTGTGTTTGCATGATGCCAGCAGCGGTGAGGCTCCTGTCAGGGTGATACTTGTGATACCAACCCCTAATCCCCTTCAGTCTGGTACTAATGGGAAATTCACTATTACTATAGCACTGTTATGTCACAGCTGATAACAGTAAAATTGTACTGCCTGGAAAACCATGGGCATTTAGTCCACAGGACCCTGGGCCATGGCAGGTTTTTTTAGGCATTTTTAAAATCCTATTTATACATGATAGTTCCTGCTGACAAGTAGTACAATTTTGGCATGTGCCCAGGCATTTTGATGTTCTGATGTAACTCCTTACATTTTTGTGTTTGAGCCAAGTTTTTTTCATTAAAATGGTAGTGCTCTACTGTAAGGAGAAAAAATACAGCCACGGAATGTAATCAGAAAAATATTCACTCAAGTTTTCTCTAAAGCAATAGATCCAGCAAAGTGCTGCAGGCATGGTTCATTTACTAGCACTAACATGGCCACAGAGCCAGCAGTGCCTGGAAAATTGTGCTCAGCCAAACTGATGGGTGCATATGGCTGTCATCTCTTGTCTGTTGTTCTCCAGCCATAAGAGTAACAATGCAGCCTTTGTGAGGTGGTTCTTTGGGAAAGCCTGATGGTGAGCTCTGCTGTAAGGGTTATGAGAGCATCTGCAGGAGGTCACGAAGCTTGGGATGCTGAGGCTGGGGGCCAGCTCAGAGCCACTGCAGCCAAGGGTGGCCCCTTCCCCATGGTGATCTGGGGGGAAAGCTCCCAGGCACTGTGGGGGCAAACCCTGGTGGGGGAGCTGCTCCCAGCAGAGGTTCCTGCCTTGGCCCTGCCTGAGCTGCAGCTCCTCACTGCCCTGCAGCCGTGTCCCTGGCCATGATGGGTCCCACCAAACCACCTCCACTCACAGGCTGCTGTCCCGGTCTGGCCTGTCCCCATCCCCAGGGAGGTGCCCCACACCCAGGGCTGGGGCTGTCCCCAGTTGCCCCCTGCCATCTGCCCTGACCTAGATAAAGTGGTTTACATTAAATTAGGGTCAAGTCGAAAAGATTTGTTGGCAGTGCTCCATAATAAATGGAATGAATATGTATTTCTGTGCTGTTGGCAAAGCTACTGTAAGTTGCTGTGAGTCTCCATTTGTGTATCATGACATCATTAATGAAGTCTTTCATACATGATGCATTAGAGCAAAAGGTAATTATTAGGAAAGAACATTTCTGGAAGAGAGACAGATTTCCTTTAAAGAAAAAAAAATACAATGCAGGAAGATTTTTTTGGAAGGCATTAGTAATATTGTAAATAAACAATCAGACTCATCAGAAAAGTAAAACCACTGCAGTGAGAATATTGTGAACACTGAGATCAAGTCCTGGTTGCTGGCAGAGTGGGAGGGCTAGGTCACCAGGCACATATATAAACTCTAGGTCACATGTCACCTTACAGACTTCAAGCATGACTCCCCATGTGGCTTTCAAGTACTCTGGTAATGCTTTGCAATCAGATTGCTGAATTTTCCAGAAAAGATGTGAAACTATGGCCATACAAAAATGAGTCAATATTTGGCGACTCAATGAAACACGTGTGATTCTCTTAATGAGCAGCTCACTATAGCTATAATTACTTTTTCTACTCAGTATTGCGATTGCAAGTCTGTAAAACAGAACATTAACTAAGTTTCCTTAGGTTTCTCAATAGGTTTTATGGCCTCTTATGCTTTATGGCTGGATTAGTGGTTTTGACCACCTGGATTTGATATGATTAATGTTATGAACTTGCTATGTGTCTTCCAGCTTTTGAATTGCTCTCCTTAACTAGTGTTTGGTGTCATTAGTGTCATTTGAGGTGTAAATTATTTATGTACAGGGAAATTCCCTTTATGCTGTAACCTCAGATCTTAGCAGTGGGGTAAGCCTGACTTCCCATGAGAAAATGCTCAGGGAAGGCTGAAGAGCTGAGCTGAGCAAGCAGAGAGCATTGCTGTGTCCCACACACTGGCTTGCTTTAATGTATCAAATTCATACCAGTGCATGCCTGAAGGCTCTTTAGGGTTAATAAAATCTTCTCTGATATGGTTTTGTGACATCATCAGCTGGTTCACCCATCCTTTGTGATCAGCTAGGAAGAAGAAGACTAAATCTCTCTCTTCTTGTTAGATCTTAGTAAACATGGGCATGACAGTAGGGCTGCTTGTGAAGGGCCTCTACCACAAATGGTCCTTTTCTCTTAGAAAAGAGAAAAATGAAAACATGGAAGTAGGCAGAATTTGAAGCACTAATTCCCCTCATTCTTCTGTGTTAGTTTTATCTACTCAAGCAGTATTCCAACCAGGAAAATCAAATACAGCTAATCCTCAAAGGAAGAAGTAGCCAAGTGAATGTCCTCACACGTGTGGCCATGGACCCAGGCTGGCTTCTCCCACTGGCGTATTGGGACAGAATTGTTGTATAAGGACTGCAGGAAGCACAGGGACAGAAGTTGTTTGTTCCTTTTAAAGATTGGCGTATGCATCTGCAGCATCCCTTGCTGAAGCCAAGATATTAGGATGAGGTTGCTTTATTGAGCCAACCCTATGTCAGGGAAAGTACCTCCCATACTGAATGCTTTCTCAGCGTCATGGACCAAAACCAAACATTTTATAGAACGTTGTGAAAGGTAATTCACCAAAAAGAGTGCAAGAGTGGTCAGTGTATGCTGGCCACCTTTGTCAGTTTTGCTGACATTAAGGTCTGCCATAAGACACTGACATCAATAGGCTGTATTCTAGCACTCAGCATAAGCAAAACAGGCAGAATATTGCCTTCCAGGGTATAGGCATGGATTATGGAAAGTGTCTTTACCTTCCTTAGGTAGACAGGTAAACCTGTCTGTCAGTAACTCCAGTACCTCTGTTTCATTTTGCTAGGATATCAGGGAGAAAAATGCTACTCAGCATGAAGAGAAACACATAGCATTTTCTTTGGATATTTCTAAAAGTACTTTTCTCCCTCACCAAATAATTCAAAGGTCTCCTGTCCCAATACATTTAACATTAGTAATGCTGTAGTAGAGATGTAGATGTAACAAGGCTTATGGGGAGTGGCAATAGCTTTTATCACTTTTATCAGACAGATGTAAGAGCAAAGGAAGAAAGCTGAGGAAGCTGTCAGGCAAACATGTGCCTTTTATGGTGGGAAACTAGAGCTGCAATCACAAATCCTTTCTCTCTGGATGCTCCAGTCTAATTTCAAAATACCTTCCCCTCTAAACTATTTGCTTCTCTGTGGTTTCCATAATGAAAGGAGCCTCCTGTGGAGACAGATATCAATCTTTGATCACTGCAATCAGCATGAAACCCTTCATGCTATTTAGAGAATGAAAATGGATCCTAAGACCAAAAAACCCATCAGCCTTTAACTGT